CCCCCACGAAAAACATTAAATTCATGCTCAACGTGACGAGCTCAAAAATTTTAATTTGCGGAATATGAAAACTCATAAATAGCTTATAATTTTGCGCTATTGGTTTTTTTATTTGTGCAAGGTGGAGGGGGGGCAGCTCGATAGGGGTATAAAATTCTTTTCTATTACTCTTTTTGTGGAGTTTTCTATAATTTTATTTTTATTACAAACGTTTATTTTTGTAAAACTGATGAAACATGAATCCGTTTTAATTGCACATACTTTTTTCTATTAAGGAACAGTATTTACGAAGCACGCGACGTGCCACGAGGATAGCATGCGGCAAAGCGCACTCAGTTGGGACGAATTAATTACTCGCATTCTTACGGGCTATCGTGCACGGGTGTCCGTACTGGCGTACTCAAGGAATTCGCGTGCTTCCGGTTTATCGAGCAAACAATTTACGGCGCGACCTTCGCACACGGGGAAATAAGTTCGGCGCACTCCCTCGGTGAATTAGCAGTCCCCAATAATTAGCGTTAATTGGTCGCGGACCCTCGCGGCCGGAGGAAGTGATGAAGCTTGCGCAACGACGCGGGGACAATGGGCGCGTACATACGTCGCGTGCAGACGCGTACGCACCGCAAATTTCTCACGCGTGTATTAATTAAAATGCTCTTAAGAATGATTGGATATTTGCATAATCGTTTATATGTGCGAGAGGGCCGATAAATCAGCGAGACGCGGTATTGTTGACTCTCAGCGTGATGCGCTAAAGATTGAAAATTGTACGAAGGCGGAAGCGAATTCGATACGCTCGATAAATTTCTTTCGTCTCGCTTACAAATGCAAGAGCACGTCGTCTGTTGACAAGAAAATTTTACGATAAAGCAAAAAGCACGAAGTAATTATTGTAACGTTCTATGCATAAGTAAAATGTAGAATTTTCAAATAAAAACTGAACAATATTAATCTTATTGAAGACGAAAATAAATATGAATAAAATTTGATAAAATAGACTCACATCGAATAAATGAAATAAAGTAAATTTTCTGTCCGTAAAGAATTTCTATGAACAACAGCAATCGAGAAATAATGAACTCGCTGTTTGATATTTTAAAACGCGTAAAGTTCGCACATTAACGGACGCATGCATTCGCGTGTATCATTAGTTCCTTAATGGAGATTGCTGATGAGCATCGATCCCATCCGGTGCATTATCACGCGCGTTCACCTGTGGCGGCTCCCAAGAAGTTGCACCTGTCGTCGGAACACAGATCGAGACGGCGGCTCGATTTCGTTCGTAATCCCGGTTTCACGCTTTGATCCGTGTCGCTGCACGCGAGAGGTTCCGCGGGAACCGAAAATGCGGGCCGGTGGTCCAGCGGAAGAACGTAATCGAACGTTCGTGCATGAAGTGTTTCAGCGAATCTCTCGGCGTCCTTTGGAAGGATTCAGGGACGACCTGCGGCGTATAAAAAGACTGAGTCTGACGACGCGCCATCGTTGACGTGCGAAGAGTTCATATCCGGCGTATTTGCTCGCGAAAACACCATGATGCGAATCTTTTTCAGTGAAGGAAGTTAAAATTGATTGTGAAGGAACTTTTCTGTGAAGGAAGTTAAAATTGATTGAAAAGAAAAAGTTCTATCACGATGAAAAAGTACGTTCCAATAATTATTATTGAAATAATGGTCTTATTTTCTGAAATTATTTAATCCACTCTTTTATTTTTTTCAATAACAATTTTTTAATTATACGCTTTAATAGATTTCATTATTAATCAATATAGAATTTCTTTTCATAATTTAAATATCAATAAAAAAAATTTTTCTTGAGAAAAAAATTTTTCTTGAGAAAAAAATTTAAAGAAAAATGTTTAAAAAACAGATCTTTGATCTGTTATATACATTTCTCCTTTTTTATCAAACGTCTCGAGACGAAAGAATAGAAAAGTGCTCCGGAAAAAAACGAGATTTTACGTCGAAACGATCCCCCGCATTCCCATTCATTCTTTGTCGTTCTGGTTCATTCCTGTTTCCTTTTTTCCTCTGGGTCGTGGTCCATGCATGCAACAACTAGCACGGACAGGTATTCTTCGGAAGCGTGGGAGTGGTTGCTCCGAAAAGGTCTTCGTCCTAATCCTAGCGTGGTATAAGCGAAGGACATCACCACACGCGATGGTCGATCGCTAATAAAAAAAAGAGTAAATTGCGTGTTTCTTCGTTTCGCCAAATTATGTCGTGTTGTTTGCCATTGTTTGGACAAAAAAATATATATTTATAATTCGGAGATCAATATCTTGCTATTTTTCTCTCGTGAAAATTATGTTATGTTTTAATTTCCTTTTTTTATAATAACATTTTATGATAACATTTGTCAGTCTTATCGCGAAACAAACACTTTTATTCATTGATTTATCAATGCTAAATAAGTGGTAATAAAATACTTTCTAATATCATTGTATAATTATGTTGATGCAACGTGTACTATTAAGTTTCTTTATTTGTTGGATTATAAAAATATTTTACTTTAATGTAATTAGATTTCACATCACACATTCTTATACATTTTTTATTTTCTCATTGAGAAAATTGCTTGTACCATTTCGATGCCACGCAATGCCGCAAAAACTGCTGTTTCATCGTTTCTCTTTTGTGATATAAAAGTTAAGTTTGGAACATCATTTAGATCATATGAGCAGCTAAAGAAACTCGCACGGTTAGAAGTTAACTCAATGTCGCTTTTTCTCCGAGCCGTTTCATTCAGGCTGTTCCACGACGTTGTAATGGCGTGCGGTTTGACGCGAGAAAATCGGAGCAGAATGCAGACTGGATGAGAATCGCGTTCGTTCGCTTCGGCAATAGGATTGCTCGAAATTGCAGAGGCACGGTGGAAAAAGCGTAAAACTGGTATACAACGATTTGCGACGGCGAGAATACGGCGAGACCGCTTGCTACGACGAGGAAATAAATTTTGCCGATAAGTGGACGATAGTTAGTCCGATTTTAAACGGTTTGCGTAAACGGGGCCGGCTTTGTAATTATACGAATAAATTGCCCTTGTTATCCGCATTGCGATACAGAATTGGCGAAAATTTTTACCGTGGAAGACCATAGCATGGCATACAATAAGCAAGTAAAGTCTCCATCACGAAGGCCCATCACGATATGGCTGAAAGGAATGACATTACAGAAAATAAATTTTCAATGTTTTATGTTTTGCTCGTCAAAATGCGCAGTTGTAAAAAAGTAAGAACCGAAGGGAGAAAAAGAAATTACGAAAAATATTAGGGCGATAATTTTCGTTTATGTAGGACTTTTTACTTTTAAGGTTTCAACAATCTTTTTTGAACAAATTATTTTTTTTCATACTGCTGGAGCCTAAAGGATTGAAAAGTTATTGAAATATTTTTGGAATAGATTATGCTTGCACTGACACAAATAAATCGCTAATAAAAATCTGAATAAAGTAAAAATTTTAATTACTGCGGTATTAAAAAAGTTTTAAAACATTTTATTAAAATGCAATTAAAATTAAATAAAAAATAACAAGAATAAATACGTGACATACGAAATATGTACCACCAGTCAGTCATCTTTTTGTTGCTTGGAATCTTGTGCATCTCCGATGACTCTAAAGGTACCGCTGGTACCCTTGCTTTCCGTTTTATCCGTTTTATAATCGCGAGATGAAAGACGACAAAAATGATTCAAGAATACGTGAAAAATGCCGAAGTTTTTAGCTGAAAACGCGGTGTGGAATTTCAGCTACTTCCTGTTAATAGATCGCGTCTCATTGTAACTGCAATGAAAGCCTAGGAGCTATTTCGAAGAGATTTTCGTGAATAAAAATACCTGCGGATTTTATCCTTCAATATCTCACATTTGGATTCGTAAGAACTCATAATTTTACACAGTCACGTCCGAACTTATTTCAACAAAAACCATAAGTATTGCATCTGAAATACTTTTCCATACATTTCATGGCATGTATTTGATTGAATGATTGAATATTATTCGGAGTGAGAGATGTGTAAAAAAATGTTTTAGTCAAAAGTTTTGTATTAAAATAGAAGTTACGCACTTACGTAAATATTTGATCAAATATGGATTTTTAAAATGTACAAAAATTATATTGTGATTTTTTAAGTAAATTATTCTCTCTTTTTTTTCAGGAGCGAAAGAAATCGGCGGTTTGGCGATCCGTAACGAGTATTGTCCCATTAGAGGTCAATATCACTTCAAATACACAATCAACAATGACTCTTCGTTCGAGTGCAACTCATTCGCTTCCGAAATTAACAATTGCCTGGATGGTTCGGTCTTACACTGGAATTTCAAACGATGCAATTTTCGTGCACACAGTAAGTCTTCCTTTCTGGATATCTTTGACGTTATTAATATTGTAGCAAAAGAAGGCGCATATGAATTAATAGCGATCGATATGTTGGAAGTTAGAAACATTATCAATTTCGTTCTAGATCTCACGTACAATTGTTTGGGCAGCTGGCCCGGACCGAATGGTTCTAATTACTTAGCTCTTTGGGACCCAGACGCCGTTGATGGCAGGCCTCAATACAGATGCGGGGTATGTACAGTACATGCATAATCTTACATAACATCTATTTTCAATAATTTAATTATTAATATATTTCCTTTAATCCTATATTTAGATATAATATAAATTGTAAGGTTTATTATGTACATTTTGCATTAAATTATTGACAATGATAAATAAAATGTAACTTTCAGCTATACCACGTTGATAACGCACAAGGGAAAACTTATATGGCATTCAGCAGTGATTCGAGCTGCACGCAGGACTTGAATAATTCGTCTAGCGGTTACGAAACTTTGATTCTGAGCAAGAGATTAAATGAAAAGAAGGTGCCAGATTATGTACAGAAACATGTTGCCACGTGAGTACATTGAATTTTATAATCATTTAATTGTGGCTTGTTAAACATGTCTTTGTAATTATAAAACTCATAAATTGTCCCTAATGTCATTATGAATCGATCATAATAATTAAATCGATACGTTTCTAATAACATGTTAGATTCCCGAAATGGGCGCAAGGAGTATGGGAGGAGTCGTTTATAGATAATGGAACTATGACTTTCACCGATGTCAATGGCTACAACAGTTACACCTTTATTACGGTGCATTCAAACGAGGTGCTTGGTCGTTATTCCGCATATTCTACAGAACAATGGTAAGTAATCAACTTGATTTATACTAAGCGAATTTTACCAAAAGAAAGTTGATGAAGATATAAAACTAAAATAATATTATTTTCGTAAGTTCTGTAATATATTTGCACTCTATGGTCTGACTATTATTTTAATAATAGTAAAAGTTAAAAATTAAATAAATCTGTATTTTTAATTTCAGCGAGCAATCTACTTTTATGTGTTTAATAATGCATCAACGAAGTGAAAATGTAATGGAATTCACGATAGGTAATTATTTCCTAAATTAACCATTCCATATATTCTTTATTACAGAGTAGCTTATTTTTAGTAATTTTTTAAAAATTCTATTGCAAGTGCAAGATTAAATTATTTATTTAGTAAAATTGAAGTGGTATAAAATTCAAAAATAATAAAAATTAAACAAAATTATTTCAAACGCAAGTATAAATGTAATTAATGTAAAAAATTTTTTTTTCATGTTTATTTGTCCACTTTATGTTGCGTGGTGCTTTTGATGGGTCTGAATTGGTTCATTTAATAATGAAAATAAGCTCATACAGATGCACCCATTTTTGGGCCTTTGAATTTAGACTTCCCTATATGCAACGATCTGATTATGAATGATCTCGTGTGGATGACTCAAGCACGTAAGTTGAAATACACGTATTAGCTTAATCAGTTATTTATTTAATAATTATTCATAAATTAGTGTGCACAATTATTTCTATTTAACGTATAAATGCTTTTATAAGGTATAGAACGAGTGGAGTCACCTTGCCCAATTACGGGTCAGTATCACGGAGAGATACCAGATCTGTTGGGAATGTGTGCCGAAATAAGCAGCAACTGCAATACTCGTGAGATGATGTATTTTAGAGTCATTGACTGCGAGTCCGGAGAATTGTTTGAAGGTATGTCAATGTGTAATATAAAAAGTTAATAAAAAAAATTAACAAACCAAAACATTTTAGCATTCTAGACCATTTTTTTTTTCTTTAAAATATAAGATTTCAGTACATTGTAGTAAAGTTCTAGCCCTATCAAATGATATAATATAAGATTCTAAGGCATAAAAATATGAATAAAATGTATAGAAAGAGAAAGAAAGAGAAATAGTCTAGAATTCTAAAATTTTTATAAATTTTATATTCAAGAATTTAGTTTTTATATGAAATTATAAATACAAATATTTTTTTAATAAAATGTTCAACTTTACTTGTTGCTTTTAGAACGAACATATCTGTGCTTGGGGCAATGGGAGGAGAAGGGTAAGGTGAAGGGTGAGGATAAGAATGTGACATATACTTACACCATGAGAAATGACACTAATACAAAGTACAAACACGAGTGCTTTGTGGGTTTCATGGTCGATGACGATGAAATATATATAAAGGAAGCTGGCGATCACTGCGTACGAAATATAGATCCTATAAAGCAGGGCATGCGTCTCTCCAAAAAAGGTAAATATTTTTATGAAATAATGCTTATAATTTTTTTTTTGCAAAAATGATAAAAATTTATATATATATATATA